GCGGGGCCTGCCGCAGGGTGTGGCCGCCGGTCCGGCCCAGGCTGGATGGTGCACTTCCGGAGGGCGGTGAAGGAGGACGAAGAGGGAAGGAAACCTTAAAAGGGGGGGGCGCCGGCGCCCAATGCGCGTGCGTCTGCCCGCTTGCTCATTTCCGCCCGCCCGCCCCTCCCCTCTGCAATTCCCAAAGCCTCGCCGCACATTTCCCCAGAACGCATGCGCCTTCTGTGCTCTGCGGTTTCCTCTGACCCTCGCCACCATCCACACCCAGTGTTTAGTCCCCTCCTGTGAACGCGCAGGTCCACACCCCTGGGAACGCGCTTGCCAGAGGCCTGCCCCCTCCCGCCCCAAAATCCTTCTAAAGAGGGCGGAGGGTGAGGAGAGGAAGAGCGCGCCGGGGCGAGGCCGGAAAAAGAAGCAGCCAGCTGGAGGGAAAGAAGAACTAGTTGCGACGTGACTAAGCATGCGCACAGATTACCTGTCCGGAGCGGCTTTCGTAAAGTACGGCGGGAGGCGGCTGACCTCTCTACACGCACTGGGCCCAGGCCACCGAGTGACACTGCATGGGCTCCTGGGAGTTGTAGTTTCTCGGGGCCTTCTCTCCCTTGGCTTTAAGTGACCTATTGCCCACTTCTCTGCGCTCCTGGCCTGGGGAGCTCAGTAGCCTCCCTGGCCATTGGCCGAGTTGCGGCCAGGACTGACCTCTAAATGCAGGGAACTGATGGACAGCTGGGGCTGAACAGGCTATCCTATGCCCTTGGTTCAGGCCGCTGCCCCTAATAGTGTAATCTAGGGGTGAGAAAAGAAGAGAATCTCTCATGTAAGTGTCTTTGAGGGAGTTTAGAGATCGTATGTAGTGTCAACCAACTATATAGGTGGTTACTAGCCTAAGGTTCCTTTAGCTCCCAAGTTAGGACTATAGCCCCCTCGACCCCCACCCCCAAATTTGACCCCAGGCCCCATGCTCCTGGTTCTGACTCCTTTCCATTCCTTAGCAATCCAGCCTTTCTAGCTTGCTCCAGAGACAATGGAGTTATTGTGATTATGTTACCAGAAAGGGGACCTGGCCCTGACCAGGTCTGCCTAAGGCAGCTGGTAGTGTGTGGGTTCTTGACTTGGTGCAGGAAAATTTTCACAAGGAATCCAGGTGAATTTCAGAGGACATTTATTAAAGCTGGGGACAGTGAAACAAAGGGCTGGGGAAATGAGCCGAGGCTGGTCTACTTTGGCCCACTAAGAAGTCAGAGAAATGGGGTCCTTGGGGACAGGTTCAGGGAGGTTGTCTGGGACGAACTACTGAGGACATGCTCCTGGGAGGCAGAGGGAGCGCTGGGATCTTCCTGTGGAGGGTTTTAAAGGCTGGGCATTGAGAGGAGGATCTCAATAGAATGTTCATCAGCTTTATGCTAATGTATCAAAATTAGGTTTATTCTCTTAACTTAATCTGCCCTTGGGTGTGGTTGGCAAATGGCACTATTTGGATTTCTGCTGTTTCCCTCAGTAGGGGGATTTAAGCTATTTACTCTCTGGTTGGGGCGAAGTACAAACCATCTACTCTTAAGTGTCCTTGGTTTAGGAAAGATAGGATTTACTATATGGCTGCAAGCTGCTGCTTAACTATCTGTCTCAGTTTCCCTATTGCTCTTGTCCTGGCTTACTGACCTGTCTCACACAGAACCTCTCTCAAAGCACAGTGCAACTCTTTACCACTTCCAGTCTTTGCAGAAATTCTCTAAGGCCTTCAATGGGTAATTGAGGTATTTTCCACTTTGGGAAATAAAACGCTTTTATTTCCCAAAGTGGAAATAAACAGCTGCTAGGCTCTGTTTTTTAAAATTTGAGCCCAGTTAGCCACCAGGAGCACTTCTTAGTAGATGTCTTTTTTCTTCCCCTCAAGGTTTACACTTCCATATTCTTATCTCAACTGCTGACCTCATCCCTGAACTCCAGATTCATATATCTAATGCTACTCCACTTTGTCACTTAAATGTTTAATGTTTCAGATATCCTCAAACAGTATCTTTATAAATGTTTTTTAATTCTCACCCAAGGACATGCTTTTATTTATGTTAGAGTGAGACCGAAAGAAAGAGAGGAACATTGATGTGAAAGTGAAACATTGATCAGTTGCCTCCCACAATTGTTCAAAACTAATTTCCTAGAAGTTGTTCTTGATTTTATCTTTTTCCTCACAACTCATATCCAAACCATTAACAAGTCCTATCAGCACCACCTCCAAAGTATATCTTGAATTTTCTCACTTATATCTTCTCTACCCCAGCCCAAGTCATCATAATCTATGGCCTCTACTGCCACAGTAGCTAATTCCTTTCCCTACTCCTCCTTTTTGAGCCCAACCTTCAAAACTTACATGATCCATTTTTATCACAGTAGCCAGAGGATTTTATTTTAAAAATATCACCTCTGTTGTAAAACTCATCAATGGCTTACCATTGCACTTGGGATAAAATACATCTCCAACTTCACCTCTCCTACTCGGTACTCTCCAAACACTAGCTTGGAAATTTCCAAGAAACACCCAATGTCCTTCCTGCTGAAGGCCTTTGCACCAGCTGTGTTCACCTCCTGGCTACTTTCTTCTCAACACTCAGGCTTCAGCTACAATGTTAGCTCATTAAAGAGTCTTACCCTTCCACCTCTGAAGTACTCCATTTGTTCATAACACTCACTGTCATATCACCCTGTTTTATCTCCCTCACAGTACTTCTGCCCAAAATAACCTTGTTTGTTTCTTATTTATTTCACAATTTTCCTCTACTAGAAGAGAAACATCAAGAGAGAAAGGATGTTGTATGCCTGTTCATTCTTACATTTCTAGCCCCTAGAATAGTACCTGGAATGTTAGGAGCACACTGTATTTGTTGAATGAATGAATGAATGAATGAATAGAAAGAAAAAGAGGTTCAAATTTGTTTAACTCTATTCCATTAGAGTATAATGGAAAGACTGGAATCTATACCTTGCCCTAAATCCTGGGATGGGAAAACTCTTGGGAGGATACATACAACAGACAGATGACAGTACCAAGGTGAGAGTAGTTGGTATCCAAGAGAAAGGCCTAGCATGCAATTTCATAAAGCATAAAACTATCAGAAGCCCAGGTTAAAAACTCCTGCCTGCTGTAAGGAATTAAGACTGTTCAACCCCACTCTCCCATCCACAAGAAAGGGCATTTTGGTGGGGATCAAGAACAGAAAGAAGTAGCTTGCTAGAAAAATTGATTATCATATTCCTTTGTTTATATAGTAAAGAGTTTTGGAGAATTTAAGTATAAATATTTTAAAGAGTATGAGTTCTAGTGACTTGTAAATATTAACATTTATTGTAAACTAGAGGCCCGATACACAAAATTTGTGCATGGGTAGGGTCCCAAGGCCTGGCCAGCGGTCAGGGCTGATCTGTGGGGCAACTGGCGGGGTGATGGGTGGGTGGGGGAGCTCCTGCTGGTACCTACCTTGGCCGGCCTGGCACTGCCTGCTTGCCGGCCCTGCTTGCCAGCCTTGCTCACCGGCTAGCCCCGCCCCCTGACCACCCCACCACCTCCACCAGTCACCTCCCTCTGCGGGACGACTGGGGGGTGATCTGGGGGCCCCCCACTGGCACCCGCCTTGGCTGGCCTAGGGCCTGCAAGCTGGGGACAGCTCCAGCATTGAGCATCTGCCCCCTGATGGTCAGTGTGCATCATAGTGACCGGTCGTTCTGCCATTCAGTCAATTTGCATATTAGGCTTTTATTATATAGGATATTTTTATACTTGAGGATCTTTTATTGAGTACATGAAAAGATGCTCAACATCATTAGCCATCAAGGAAATGCAAATCAAAACCACAATGATGTAACATTTCAGAACTTCTAGGATGGCCATAATAAAAAAGGCAGATAATAACAAATCTTGGCAAAATTATGGAGAAGTTAGAACCCCTCATACACTGCTAGTGAGAATGTAAAATGGTGCAGCCTCCTAAAAAACAGTCTAGCATTTCCTCAAATGTTTAAACAATTACCATATGATCCAGTAATTCAACTTCTAGTTATATATATCCAAGTGAAAGGAAAATTTAGGTCTACACAAAAACTTGTACAAGAATGTTCATAGCAGCATTATTCATAATAGCCAAAATATGGAAATGATTCAAATGTCCAGCAACTGATAAATGGATCAAATATTGTACAGTAGTCCCTCTTTGTCCATGGTTTTGCTTTTTGAGGTTTGTGTTACCCTAGGTCAGTGGTTGGCAAACTGCGGCTCGCGAGCCACATGCAGCTCTTTGGCCCCTTGAGTGTGGCTCTTCCACAAAATACTGACTTCTGCACATGGGCCACGAAGTTTCAATCGCACTGTACGTGCGCGCCCGCACGTGGTATTTTGTGGAAGAGCCACACTCAAGGGGCCAAAGAGCCACATGTGGCTCGCAAGCCGCAGTTTGCCGACCACTGCCCTAGGTCAACTGGTGTCTGAAAATTTGAAATGAAAAGTTTCAGAGATAAACAATTCATAAGTTTTAAATTGTGCACCATTCTGAGTAGGATGATGAAATCTCATACCATTCTGCTCTGTCCCACCTAGGCCATGATTTATTCCTTTGTCCAGTGTATCCATGCTTGTACATTCCCTACCCAGGCACAAGAGTAGTAGTGCTATGATATGCCAAAGAGAAGTCATAAAGTGTTTCTATAACGTGAAAAGGGAAGTACTGTACAATAAGATATTCTGTGAGAGAGACCACATTCACATAACTTCTATTACAGTATATTATTATACTTGTTCTATTTTATTATTAGCTATTGTTGTTAATCTCTTACTGCGCCTAATTTACAAATTTAACTTTATTATAGATTTGCATGTATAGGAAAAACATATGTATACATAGGGTTCAGTACTACCTGAAGTTTCAGGCACCCACTGGGAGTCTTGGAATGTATACCCACAAATAAAGAGGGACTAC